GCCGCCGCCGCTTCCGCCCCACGCCGGAAGTCCCGCCCCGGCCACGGCGTCCGCACTGACGGCCCTACCGGAAGCACATTCCCCGCGCTCCGCCGTTCCGCCTTGCTCTCCGGCCTTCCGCAAAAGTGTTTCCGTGCGCCGCGGCCGCTCAGGGTGTTTGGGGTCGACGCCGTACCCCTTGATGGTGGAGTGGCTTTGGGGGCTGGGAAAGAGGGGTGGGGCCGACCCTGAGAAGGCAGTGTGAGTGCCAGCTCGCGGGAGGTCAGGCTGGAGGAGCTCGGAAGCTTTTGCTGGGCCTGAAGGAAGAGGCCCAGGCAGGACACCCGCAGGGCGGAGCTCGCTGGGAGACCCGTGGCTGTCCCGGGAGAGGCTGGGAGCGCAAGGAGGTGGCGCAGTGCGGAGCGCCCAGGCCGGCGTGACAGCTCGGAGCAGCAGTGTCGCAGGGCTCGACACCAGAAGCTACGGGCCGCACGTGCAAAGCACGGGCATTCCTCAAGGCGGCGACTGTCAGTCAGCTCTGACACCTCAACCCACAGGGTCCCGTTCTCCGTGGTGGCCCAGAGCGCATGGCCATCTGCGCAGACTGTATAAAAAAAGGAACGCTCCTTGAAATGGTTGTTGAGATATGCCGTGTACTGTTATTTTTTATTGTTTTTCGTTTTTTAAATCTGCTGGTGTAATCCACTAAATTGATTTAATGTAGGATTTGAACCACGGTGTGAAAAAAATGCAGGGGAGGAAATGCCACTACAAATGCAGGTGATTTCTAAATCAGGCCAGTGACACAAACGCCAAAGCTGGGCATTAATATCGCGTTACCTTCCTACCAGTTTCTTAAAAGGTTGTCAATGGAAATAAATGTTTAAACGTAGATAATTAGTAAAGCAAGTCATTTTCTTGAGAACATGAGCAATTTTAAGGGGCTAGAGTAAAATAAGGAAAGCTCCTAGGTCCCCATTTCCAAGAAGAAAAGCAGGAACTGCCAACCGGAGAATAAGGGCCACTGTTGCCAAGAGGAGGCACAGGGTGAGCTGCAAGATAGGAGGAGAGAAGTCACAGGGCCCTGTGGGAAAACAAACAATGACCGCTTTTTCAGAATGAAGAATCAGAGAAATATCCAACAGGGTAGCGATTTCATTTTGCATTTCCCAGAAGAGAAAAGAAAACCCAATGTCTGGACGCCTGATCTTGGGGATATTTAGGGGTAAATATTTAAGCTGTGGCTGTGCTGACATCACTAATTTTTAACCTTGGGCTAGAGGACCACACGCTTGAGTATGACAGTTTGATATAAGGTTATGGCAGGTTAAGTCTTAATTTTCCTGCTCAAGCCAAAAATGGCTTTGAGTTTAGGTGAGCTGCAACCAACCCACGGTGGCTGAAACATGATATATTTTCTGCTACTTTTCAGTTAAATACATGGTATTTTAGCTACTTCATAGCTCCAAGAGTCCACTGTGTGTGATCTGGGTTCAGGATGAACCAGCTATGGCAGACAATGACATCTCAAGTGTAGCTTGCCAACAGTGATGGAAGATGTGGGTTTCAGATATGTAAAGTCTGAAGACATTTGCTCCACAAAATTAATGAAATATGGTAAAAAATCACATGAAGTTGAACCTGTTAAGTTGGAAGGGTGGCCCTCTAGTGGCAGCCAAGGTACTTCGTACCATTCTGAAGAGGAAGTGGCCAGCTCCAGAAACACTTTTAGTCTCTGACACTGTGGGATTTCTCACACTGAACCCTCTGAGTGGTGAATTTAGGGCCTGGGAGCCAGGAGAGGAAGAGGTTAGGGGGAAACTGTCAGACTGAGCAGCTTCAGCAGGGACAGCCAGATGAAGAGACCAGGATAGAAAGGAAAGGGAACTGAAGCACATAGGATGGGAGGAGCTGCTTTATCCGAGTTGTGCTAATCTTCCGGATCCTTCTCCCATCAGTCTGAAGAGAATTAAAGCATATTGCTTCTTTCCTGCCTGGGTGCATTGCAGCTCTGACAGCACATCTTGGCCCCAAGGAGAGCCTGGCTCTTCTGCAGATCACATGGGGAAGGGGAAGAGCCCAAGGAACAGGGCCAAAGGCCAAAGGTTCGCCTCACCTCCAGGGTTTGAACGGAGAGGCCAAGGCACAATGTGGTCATTGTAGATTAGCTGAGACCTTGTTTAATATCTCTCTCCCCCACCAGGTATTAAGTCCTGCTGTGGATTGATTAAATTGTGTCCCCTAATGTTCATATATTAGAAGCTTAATTCCCACTGTAAATGTTGAAAGTCGGAAATCCTATTATGGTAATTGAAAGGTGTGTCTCTGAAGAGGTAATTAGATTGTAGGACCATGCAGTAGTGAATGGATTAATAATGGTGGTCAGGGGCGTGGTTCTGCGGACTTTAAAAGAGCACACAGGCTGGCCTGTGCCTTACTTGGGGGAGTGTGGTGCTGACAATACCAAGTCAAGGGTTGAGATCCCCTTACTGGTCATCTTTTAAAATAAATACATAAATAAATAATAAATAAAAGAGCACACGAGAAGTTCTGTCTCTCTGCTGCACCATATTCTGCCATGTGAGACCTCTGCATTGCTGTAAAGATACCACTAAAAACACCCTCATCACATGTTCCCTGCTGTGGAGTATTCATAAAGCAAATGTACTTCACAGGGCTTGGTTTTCCAAAGCCTTGCATTTTCAAATATTGACCTTGCAAAGGACAGGAAATTTTCCCCAGGCTATAGTCTCTGTTGTAAGATAAAGAATTGTAACAGAGCAAGGTTGCTGGCTCAAAGACAGACAGGTCACTGATTGATATGTAAAGATACTGGGAAATCGCTGTAAGAAGAGAATGTTGGCTAAAATCAAGCTTTTGTTAGTGGATCACTTAATTGTATTATAGAATGTCACCTTACTTTTCTTACTGAATGTTACCAGCTTCTATTATTAAACTTGTTAAACTATACTTAGAAAAAAAACCCACCTATGTTCTCTTCCTGTAACTTCCTGGTCTGGAGAATAAATGCAGGAAGAGAACCCCAATTCAGGGTTAATTTCCCAAATGGAAGGAATGCATCACTTTTGAGGGTTCTGGGAGATTAACCCCTTTTCGGGGCTTCTCACTGCTCAGAAGAGATGGACTTTGAGTAATCTTTGGCAGCTCCATCACCCAGGGGAAAAGGGGTGACAAATCCATGAGAGGCAAAGCAACAAATGGTGAACCCGATGTGATGAATTCTGGGTCCATGGATCAGAGACCGACCTGCCAAGCCTTGGAAAGGAAAAGAAAGAGGACATCCGCCACTCATCCCGACAAAAGGGAGGTCCCGACAAAAGGGGAAAAGGAAATAGGATACCCGGAAAAGAAACAGGACATCTATTCATCCCATCAAGAGGGAAATCCTGGTAAGGAGGACTCACCCTGGTAAAGGGGATCACAGAGTTGGCTTTCAATTAAGCGATTGCACTCTTGCTGCAGTGTCTAGCTAGGGCTTTGCCCAGAAGTTTTGCATTCTTACTCCCTCAATTTTCTATCTATTCTTTCAATTATGTATAGTTTACCGTATAAGAGGGAAGTTCAACATAGTTCAGTCCTTCTATGTCTCCTTAAGGCAGTAGGTTATAAAGTATCTAACTGTCATCTAACTAAATTATTATTGATTATAGTGGTTTGGAAATTTTGTCAAATTGGTTTAAAAATTATTCAGAACCTGAGCCGAGCCCGTGGCGCACTCGGGAGAGTGCAGCGCTGGGAGCGCAGCAGTGCTCCCGCCGCAGGTTCGGATCCTATATAGGGATGACCGGTGCGCTCACAGTGCTCACTGGCTGAGCGCGGTGCAGCCGGTCTCAAAAAAAAAGGACAAAAAAAAATTTTTTTAATTAAAAAAAAAAAAATTATTCAGAACCTTAACAAAAGGATGGGCCGGCCTGGTGGCGCACTGTAGCAGTGCGCCGCTTGAGAGCGTGGCAGCGCTCCCGCTGAGGGTTCGGATCCCACATACAGACCGGTTCCCGCTCACTGGCTGAGCGAGGTGTGGGCGCGACGCCGAGGGTTGCAGTCCCGTTGCCGGTCCCGGCCCGGTATGGGCGCGGTCCCGGTCCGGTATGGGTGCGACACTGAGGGTTGCGATCCGTTGCCGGACACAAAAAAAAGACAAAAAAAGGAAAAAAAAAAAAAGAACCTTAACAAAAGGAAAAACCGTGTTTATCGCCTCCTCCTCCTCTCCCCCCATCTCCACCTTTGGAGGCAAACAATTCATTTATTCCCTTGATGGAGTCCTGTCTTAAAGAAGGACATAACATGGGAGTTGATGCTCATCATGTCTCTCCTTTTGTAAGAACTGGGACTCAGGGGGCCGGCCCATGGTTCACTTGGGAGAGTGTGGTGCTGATAACACCAAGGCCACGGGTTCAGATCCCTATATAGGGATGGCCGTTTCACTAACTGGCTGAGCGTGGTGTTGACAACACCAAGTCAAGGGTTAAAATACCCTTACCAAAAGAACTGGGACTCAGTCAAGACATGAAAACCTGGGCCGGCCCGTGGCTCACTCGGGACAGTGCGGTGCTGATAACACCAAGGCCACGGGTTCAGATCCCTATATAGGGATGGCCGTTTCACTAACTGGCTGAGCG